TACTGATTATTGTAAATAATAATATATATGAATCATAGATATTTATTTAATGTGTTCTGTATTTATTGACTAGCTTTTCCTTCATATTATTCTATTTTTGTTTATTACTACTTTTTTTTCATTACATTATCAAGTCATTCATTTAAAGAATGTCATTTCTCCACTCAGTCTGGCAGACTTATTGTAACAGCCACCAAAACAAAATTTTCTCAACAAAGCATGGCTCTCTCACCATTTATCATTAGAAATGTTTGTGTGATTGAGTCCCATTAACTGCCCATTAATGGTGAGCTCTTTGACAGTTTTTTTTTCCTTCTTCCTTCTTACCTTCCTACCTGATCCCTAATGCTGTATCTTTCTGTTTTATGACATTGCCATTATATGTCTCAAATTCTGCAATTTTTGATCCATTGAGACTGGGAGTGTATGCAGACATGGCCTCTCTGTTGTTTTTTCTCTTGATACACATATTATAGAGTAAATCACGTAAGTTCTTGTAAATCCATCTATATGATATGATTTACAAAATAGACAGTGCATATACCCGCCACCAACAAGATGATAGGTCTCTTGTGCTAGAAATTTTCTATTTTGATGTATGCAATGAACTGCCATGTAATTCTTTCTTTCTTTTCTGCTTTTTGTTTTCCATGTATTTGTGTATGGTTCTGTGGCTATGCAGAAATGTATAGGATTACTGGTATGGGGTACTTACACAATTTTTGTATATGACATTTGTGGTCTCAAAGTGTCTTCTGATACTTTTGTGCATATATTTTTTAGGAGGTTCTTAAGGGAACTGGGTCATACTGTATGTGATTTTTATCTAGCCAGTGATATATGGTGCTTTAACTTCAGTTGCAGTATTGGTAAGAAAGTGCAACATTTTAGCCTTTGTGATGTACAAATTTTTATAAGCTTTCCGTAAGCAGTTGTACTCTGATGGTCTTGTCAATATTACAGTGGTAATATGCATTATCTATAGAGTGCTGAGGAGACCCCTTGGAAAGTCTTTGGCTTGTAGATTTATGCATAGACGTTATGGAAAGGTTTGTAGTTAGGTATGTTCTATTGTAGCCTAAGTATAATGACATTTTGAATGAATCTTGCAAAAGTTTCACAGACAAAATTAAAGGAATATCATATTGTAATATTTAATAAATTACTCTATTTATTGATTTGGTGGTGATTATGCTTTTTTTCTTTTACTTTGGTACACTTTCAGAAAGAGAAAGAGCTGTAACAATTTTGTGCCTTTATTCCATTGTATGTGAATTCTTTTTATTTAAACAAATAATATTTGAACTTTTTCTTTTTTTCCTCTATGTTTTGAAGTTTTATTTCTTCTCTTGTGTTTCTTACATCTCACATTTTTATCTGTATACTTTATATCATATGATGCCAATGATATGAAAAATTTAGATTGGAAATGCACACATGCTTGAACATTATTATTTTCTAGCATAGAAGATTTTGGAATTATAGTGAATGATTAAATTAATTTGACTGGAAGCTTATTTATTTATATAAATTTCTATAGTGATCTTTGTTATTGCATTATGCTAATGTAGTTTAAAGAAAACACTACTATTATTGTCACATATTTCTTATGCTCTTATCATTTTTTTATTTATAATTATTATTATTTTTTAAAATGTTTTGAATATTCTTCTTCCTTCTCTTTTTGTAACATGCTTGCCATATTTGGTTGTGATAAAGCTTCAGCATAGTTGGTTGTGAAAAATGCTTTGTCTGCTCTAGGTGTTTAGAAATGGGTGTTGTGACTGTAAAGAAAATCATGATATATCAAGAAAAGAAAGAAAACTTGAGAAAAAGAAAGAATTGCTCTAAAAACTAAGAAAGACAGACCCCCCTCCCTAAAAAAAAGGATAAGAAGGAACAAGCTCATGATTTAAAAAGAGGGAAAAGGCAAAGGAACGGAAAAAGAGAAGCAAAGATATGAGTGTAGTTTGAGAAACTAAGATTTGAAAAAAACACAAGAAGGCAAGTGAAGAAACGAGTCTCTTATCCTTTGTTGAAGTGCCTTTTGAGATTTTGTGAAAGGAGGTTAAGAAATGTGCATTTTGCAGAAAGCTGGAAAGTATTGCTGTCAAGAAATTGAAGGGAGGTCTCCGAGGTTGCTTATTTGAAGGGTTTGGTTGATGCGTTTGTTTAGGGTGCTGTGGTTAGGTTCTTTGTGACTGGACTGTGAACATTTGTGCAGGATTTTTCTCTCTTTCTTTCTCTTTACCTGGTTTTGTCTTTCTTCTTTTTTGTTTTGTTTGCTTGATGATCCCCATGAAAAAAGGTTTTGATTTATCTCTGCCAAAGACTGATATTTCTATTGTAAATGAAGATAGACAAAGCAGTTGTTATTGAGATGGAGCAAATCAAAGAAATGATAAATGTTTGAAGAATAGCCATCACAGGTGCTTCATGTTCACTTATCATTTGTATGAAATTATTGATTGACATTAGACCTTCAATATTGTGAAATTTGGTTTCATTTGGTTTCATACAAAATGCTAATCTATTCTTTGCAAAATTGTATCAGAAAGTGTATCTAGAAAGCTGGTTGAGAAAGGGAGAGTTATATCTATTAGTGTTATCATTGTCAGATCTTTTCTTTGTATTTATTTTACCTAGCATCACAATTGTTAGTAAAGTAGCTCTTACCTTTCTTGACAGCTATAAGAATGGTTGGTTGGTAGTGGTTTGATTCCAGAAGAGGAGGGATGTTGAAGCTATATTATGTTCATGTTTGTGTGTTGTAACAGCTGTTGTGTGTAGATGTTACTGTATGTTGGGCCCTCCCTTCCTTGTTGCCAAGGAATACCATAGTTATGTCAGGAAAGGAATATAAAGTTCTAGCTCTTTGTGTTTCAGTTTACCATGACAAACGGCTCACACTCAATAATTTAGGTCTCAGTGTGTGCCAGCCTGTAGTAATGCTGCTTTTCTGTCTCCATCTTTATCATTTGACAATCATTTTACTCAGTATCAAGCAGTTACTCAGTTATGATTCAGCAGAAATACTTATTCCTTTCTTTAAATCAAGATGGTGATGTTTGATTTTCACTTAGATATATTTGTGGATTTGTCCTCTTGTGTGGGTGTTTTAGGCAACAGTGTATGGCAACTAAATTATGTAGCTCAAAGGTATCTTGCCATGCAATTCCAACTGCCTTGTGCCTTGAAATGTGAAAGATGTTTGATTTGTGATAGGGAACCATGTCAGCTATTGCAGACATAGTAATGATGAAGTTGCAGGGAATATGAAACAGTTTGTGTCGTTTTATTGTACACTGTTAGATCTTAGTCTAATGAGTTTTAAAACCCGTAGAAGCTATACAAAATAAGTTTTAGTGTTTGTATTAAAGATATGGTTAATCAATCTACTCCTCTAGCATGGGTGGAGTTTTCAACTTGTCATGATTTATACTGTTCCAATAATCTTTGTTAAGAGCATGTCTTGGTCTGTGATCCTTGATAGCCCACCATCCAAGCAGAAAAGATCTTTGCCATCAGAAACAGTAGAGGGAAACTGGTGTAATAAATGCTATTAAGTAATGTAGTGAAGAACTAAGCTTCAGCCCCTTTATTATTTAGTTGTTAACAAAACAACCAATAGAAGTGCAGGAAAACACAATTATTATATCACTTAACTGCTTCATTAGTTATTCCGGGATGTAGCAACTACACAAAAAGGTCTTCATTATGATTATGGTTCATCGCTTTCTGGTGTAGTCTGAAGAGGTTCGTCATAAATCTTGTACAGTATTTGTAGGTACAATGATGGTATATAAAGAAAGATATTGTCATCTGAATGTAATTGCTCTCCTTTATTTTTGTATTTTAGATTTTCATGAACAAAGTTTTTCACATCTTGTCTTGTCATCCTGTTTTTTGTTTTTCTTCTTTCACTATCCCTTCTTTTATCTTCTTTTTTCTTTCTTTCCTGTTAATGAAGACCTTTTTTTGGTTCTTGACTTTGTTTTTGAGTTTGTTCGTAGATCTTTTCCTTTTTTGTCATTTTCATTTTGTTCTTTCCAGGAACCAATAATCTAGGTTTATTTATAAATGCATTAATTAGATTATAATTTGATTAGATGATTTCTCATTTATTGTTTGAGAATTAGTCCTTCTATAGGAAAACTATGATCAGCACAGGGAGAAAAGGGAAGTTTTTACAGAAAGAAAGATATAAAAATATAGAAGAAATATCAAAATGAGAAAATTTCACTTCGACAAATGTACTAGTATCATTGTTGGATATTATCTTTATCATTATTATTATCATCATCATTATTGCTATCATAATCATCATCATTATCATTATCATCATCATGATTATCATTTTTATCAATATTATTATTATAATTATTATTAATATTGTTCATTTCGAAATAAGTTTAGTCCATTGAATGTTAGATACCTTGTATTTGGTTTTTACTCTTTTTCATGTTTGAAGTTGACTTCCTCTTAAGGAAATATTTGTATTCTGTGATTTTTGAGGTGTACTGTAAGCTGTTGAGTCAATATATATAATTTTGTAATCCTTTTTGGTGGAAATGAACATTTTCTTTTATTTACACATATTAGGCCATATTCAGATGGGAAAAAAATATTTATTTGTGGAGTGTGACGGTTGGGATACATTTGTTATGGCAGCTTCCAACCCTATGCTTTTAGCCGTTCTTGCCTTAGTAGACTACAAATGAATAGTTTTCTTTGCACTGAAACGCAATTTTGTTTAAGTACTTTGAATAAAACGTGCAATTGTAAAAGAGCATTTATAAGTAATAGAAGGTCCACAGTTTCCTATGAATATTTAAATGCTTCGGCTCTCTTGCCAAAGAGAAGGATGAATGACGCAATCCAAGAGTGGTCTCAAGGGCAGTATTAACTCTTTCAGTGTTTGGACTTCAAAACGTCAGGTCATATTGTCAAGCAGTGCTAACTAAAATATGTATTTTGAAGAAATTATATTTTCAAAGAAATTGTTCTTTAGTTTATTGGTTCAGGAGAACAAAAACGAAAACATAACAGATCTCTGTACTTGCACAAAGCATGTATGAAGTTATGTTTTATTTCACCTGTACACGTTTTCTAATGTGATTTATTCCTGTTCTTCTGTAGTTTCCTCCCCTTCTGCCTATTCCTCTTCCTCTTCATCTTTTTCCTCCTTACTACTTCTTCTTTTTCTTTTTCTTCTTCTTCTCCTCCGCCTCCTCCTGCTGCTGCCTTTTCGTCTTCTTCTTCCTTTTCTTCTTCTTCTTCTTCTTCTTTTCTTTTTTTTCTTTTTTTTCTTTTTTTTTTCTTTCTTTTTCTTTCTTTTTCTTTTTTCTTTTTCTTTTTTCTTTTTCTTTTTTCTTTTTCTTTTTTCTTTTTTCTTTTTTCTTTTTCTTTCTTTTCTTTTCCTTCTTCTCTCCTCCTCCTCCTCCCCCTCTCCTTCCTCCTCCTCCTCCTCCTCCTCCTCCTCCTCTCTCCTCCTCCTCCTCTCTCCCTCCTCCTCCTCCTCCTTCCTTCTCCTTCTCCTCCTCTCCTTTTCTTCCTCCTCTCCTCCTCCTCCTTCTCCTCCTCCTCCTCTCCTCCCTCCTCCCTCCTCCTCCTTCCCTCCTCCTCCTCCTCCTCCTCCTTCTCCTCCTCTCCTCTCTCCTCCTCCTCCCTTCTCCTCCTCCTCCTCCTTCTCCTCCCTCCTCCTCCTCCTCCTTTTCCCCTCCTCCTCCTCCTCTCCTCCCCTCCTCCTCTCCTCCTCTCCTCCTCCTCCTCCTCCTCCTCCCTCCTCCTCCTCTTTCCTCCTCCTCCTCCATCTCCTCCTCTTCCTCCTCCTCCTACTCCTCCTCCTTCTCCTCCTCCTCCTCCCTCTTCTCCTCCTACTCCTCCATCTCCTCTTTCTGTTCTTCTAAGCCCTCTTCGTACTCCTTCTACACCCTATCTTTTTCCTAGTTTATCTTGTTACTTTTTCTGCTCTCTCTTTTCCTAACACTTGTATGCACAACCAATACCTTTATCACTTTTGCTATTAAGACTTTCTATAACACAATATAAGGCAATAGTTGATCTACAGAACACTAATGAGTCACTACTAATTTAAACTATCACAGTTTCTGTCTATAATGGCAGTATATTTACTCTTCTAAACTGCATGACCCTTTTTTCCAACATATTCTAAACTTTTCATACTATATAATATACCTTCCCTTTCATGTTTACCTTTTATCATCTTCATCCATAAGGTACACCCTCTTATCTTGTATATCCATCTGTCTTAAAACTTCTAACACTTTGAGATATCTAGGATCTTTCCATGTCTATTGATACAGTCACATATGTAGTAAGAGGAGTGTCTACTTGGACATTCACTGCTTGTTAGAGATATCACGCTTAACGAGTTATTCGTTTATGCATACATGTAGATTGCATTAACACCTGCACAATACATAGACATAAACCCATAAATAAACTTGCATCCAGGGTGCATATATGCTACAAGTCATATGCCTGCTATTTTTTATAATTGTTAATATGTGCCATTAGTACAAGAGAAAGTTGTCTTTGTGTAGGTTCACGGTGATGTAAATTATAATGTGTGTGTTACTACTGTGGGGTTTTATATGTTTGCATGTGGGTATTTGCTAAGTGTGATGCCCATAAAATCTTCGTTTATGTGATTTTTAAAAATCTGTCAATCTTTGTTAACTGTGTAAAATAACGATTGTAGAGAATATATACAAAATATACAAATGTGATCGGGATATTACCTGACATAAAACAACTTGCTCATTATTCTGTGAAAAGAATATACAAATTTTTTACTTTCATGACTGTCTCTTGGTCATTTAGATTAGCTTGAACACTAGTTTGATGTGCATCATTGAGTGCTGTACAGTGTAGTGATGTAAATGTTGTATTTAATGATAACTGTTCTTCAGTACAACAAACACATTGAATAAAAACACAAAGAAGAGCACTGCACAAGCTTTAATGCAGATTAGATTTATCAGTTTGTAATATAAGTAATTAGTGTCATAATAAAACCATTTTTTGAAGTAAGATGCAGGATGAATTTGAATTATATTTTTTATCTCTTCTTATACAAGTGTAGACAGCAGTTCTCATATACACTTAATATTCCATTATTCCATAAGCATAATTTCCACTCTCTCACTCTCTCTCTCTCTCTCTCTCTCTCTCTCTCTCTCTCTCTTCTCTCTCTCTCTCTCTCCTCTCTCTCTCTCCTCTCTCTCTCTCTCTCCCCTCTCCCTCTCTCCCTCTCCTCTCCTCTCTCCTCCCCTCCTCTCTCTCTCTCTCTCCCTCTCTCCTTCTCTCCCCTCTCTCTCTCCTCTCTCTCCCTCTCCCTCTCCTCTCCCTCTCCTCTCTCCCTCTCCTCTCCTCTCCTCTCCCTCCCCTCTCTCCCTCTCTCTTCTCCCCTCTTCTCCTCCCTCTCTCCCTCTCCTCCTCCCTCTCTCTCTTCTCTCTCTCTCTCTCTCTCTCTCTCTCTCTCTCTCTCTCTCTCTTCTCTTCTCCTCTCTCTCTCTCTCTCTCCTCTCTCCCCTCTCCCTCTCCCTCTCCCTCTCTCTCTTTTCCCTCTCTTTCTTCTTTTTTCTCCCTCTCTCTCTGCTCCTTCCCTCCTTCCCCACTTCTCTGCTCCCCCACCTTCCCTCCCTCCTCTTCTTTTCCCTCCTTCCCTCTTCCCTCTTTTCCCTCTTCCTTCCCTCTTTCCCCCTCTTACCACTCTTCCTTCCCTTCTCCCCTTTTCCCTCCCTGTCTCCCACCTCCCACCTCTCCTCTTCCTCTCTTCTCTCTCTTCTCTCTCTTCTCTCTGTCTGTCCTCTCCACATCTTTCGAATGAATAAAGTGTAAGCAATAAAGAAATAAATGCTTCTGAAGCGAAGAGAAAGCAGGTCTTCATAAAGGTGAAAGCCACAGTTGCCGTAGAAGGGTCTTCTGTAGCATGAGCCCCAGTCTGTCAACTTCGAAGTAAGTTTTGACTGGCAGTATGTTCATTACACTCATCTCGACTTGTAATTGTACTATTTCCAGACTTTCTGTTGTACTCCCGTTCCAGTATAATTTAACTTATTAAAGTACTGAATGATTAAAATACAGGATTTGTTTTATTTGTCCGAAGATGACATGGCTTGATTAGCAGTTGGAGGGAGGGGAGTGAGGGGAGAGAAAGAGAGAGAGAGAAGGGAAGAGGAGAGGAGGGGGGGGAGGAGGGAGGAAAGAGGAAGGAAATGAAGAGAGAGCGTGCAGTGAGTGAGAGAGAGTGTGAGAGCGAGATTGTATGACGACACATCACTGACAAATCTCTAGAAAAATCTCCAATAATCCCAAATGATATTTACAAACATACCGAATACCAATACGCCGCCAGTATTGCCAAGAATCTTGGCATATCACTTACTGTAAAAAAAAATGCACACGATTAGAAAGATTACAAAAATCGATCGATGGCACCATTCTGTCATCTCCCAACTTGTTTTTCCTTTTTTTTTCTATTGGCTTTGATTTATTATCTGAAAGTCTCGTGTTCTCATTATAATTCAAAATGTGGTTCGGTTGCCAAACGCTACGGAAATGAGAATGTGAAGCCACTACGACATGTGCTATATGACCTTAGATGTCTAGCACATTTATCTTAACCATTAATCCATTAATTAATCCACTACGACAAACTTTGATGCCTTGCACGTTTGTTTGTTTAAAGCATTAACCAATACTACAGACTTCTCTCTCCCTATGGCATCAGTTCTAGTGTGGGATCTAACGTGCATTTGCATGGATTAGAACCTGATGAATTTTTAAATATACAGGGACAGGCAATAATGTATTTGTGGATTTACATGCTCATGAGTATGTTTACAGAAATTCTGATAAGCAAGGAATAGTAATTAAAAGGACTGGGAACATGACGCCGCCAAATTTTGCAAAGAACAATCCTTTCGTAAGATACAGGACGAAAATTTAGGGTATTTATTGGGATTTTTTTCTTTTCTTTTCTCCGGGAGCCATAGGCATGGTATTCTCTTGGTTGATTACCAAGTCCTAACCCCTAATGGAGACCTAAGGGGTAGACCGTTTCTTTTCCCCATTTTATTCAGGCTCACCGTGGCCAATAATGAAGATTCTTTAACCTCGATAGGGGCATTAAGGCTTACCCTTTTATTATCAACTGGCCAATCTAATTTCGATTTTGATGGTTTTCCAACCCCTGCCCCTCCTTTGACCACGGCTCCGACCACTGATACTAATTCCATCTACTAGACGTTTGCTGACAACTCTATCCATTCTGAACCACCCAACCAGGTTATTACTCCACCTCCAGGATGCACCTCTTCCTCTCTCCCAGCATTCTCTTCTCCATCTCCGACTGCACAGTGATCTTCAATGTCTACTCCCTCTTCTCTTATTACTACTCTTCATCCTTACTGCCCCCCCCCCAACAGAACTACTTCTCTCTACATACCCATCCCATTCCTCCCGCCCTCGTCCTTCTAATGCCTCTACCTCTGCAAAAAACCTTTTGCAGGTACTCTCATNAGGCGAAAGGCCGATCCTCCTCCATGGATGATTCTCCCTAATGAGCATCTCGGCGCCTCAGCATCCCAGTCCTCTCCCGGGGTGATCTCCTCCCCTCCCCCCCCCCCTCCCACCTGACGAGGCGAAAGGAGGAGGAGGAAGAAGAAGAAGAAGAGAAGAATTGGAGAAGCTTCACCAATCTTCTTCTCTTCGGTTCTCTCCTCGCGAGAAACGTCCGCCTCATTTTTTTTTTTTTTTTTTGTTTTATTATTTCGTTTACCTTTTTTTCTTGTTCTTCCTCTTCTTACTTCCTTTCCTTCTTCTTAGTATTCGTCTTGTCATATTTCTTTTTTCATTTTATGTTCATTTCTTTTTTTTCTTTTTTGTTTGCGTTTTATTTCGTTTACTTTTTTTTCTTGTTTTCCTCTTCTTACTTCTTTCCTTCTTCCTTAGTTTTATTCGTCTTTCATAT